AAAGAAAAATAAATAAAAGACATTCAAATTAGAAAGGAAAAAGTAAAATTGTCTCTATTTGAAGATGACATGATATTATATATAGAAAATCATGATTCAATTTTAAAAAACTGAATTAATAAATTCAATAAAATTTCAGGATACAAACTGATTATACAAAAATCAGTTGCATTTCTACACACTAACAATAAACCCTCAGAAAGAGAAATTAAGAAAACAACCACATTTACAACAGAATCAAAAATAATAAAATATTCAGTAATAAATTTAACCAAGGAAGCGAAAGATCTACACACTGAAAACTATTAAGACATTGATGAAAGAAACTGAAGAAAATACAATGGAAACATATCTCATGCTGTTAATGTATTAGAAGAATGAATATTGTTAAAATGTCTATACTACCCAAAGTGATCTGCAGATTCAATGCAATCTCTACAAAAATTCCAGTGACATTTGAAAAAAATTGTAAGTTTTATATGGAACCACAAAAGACCCCAAACAGCCAAAGCAATTTGAGACAGAACACAGCTGGAGGCATCACACTTCCTGATTTCAAACTGTATTACAAAGCTATAGTAATCAAAACAGTATAGTATAAGCATAAAAATAGACACATGGATTAATGGAACAGAATAGACAGCCCAGAAATAAATCCATGTATATATGGTCTATTAATTTTTGTGAAAAAAGCACACACAATGGAGAAAAAATAGTCTCTTCAATAAATGGTGTTAAGAAAACTAGATTGCCATATACAAAACAAATGAAACTGGACGCCTAATCTTATATACAAAATTGAATTCAAAATGGATTAAAGGCTTGAAACCATAAACCCTGTAGAAGAAAACTTGGGAAGTAAGCTCCTCAACATTGTTTCTGGCGAGGAGTTTTTGGATTTGACACCAAAAGTAAAGGCAACAAAAGCAAGGATAAACAAGTGGCACTACATGAAATGAAAAAGTTTCTGCACAGCAAAGGGAACCATCAACCAAATGAAAAGGCAACGTATGAAATGAGAGAAAATATTGCAAACAACGTATCTGATAAGGGGTTAATATCCAAAATATATAGGGAACTGATACAATTCAATAGGAAAAAAACAGAAATAACCCAATTAAAAAATAGGCAAACTATCTGAATGGATAATTTTCCAGAGATGACATACAAATGGCCAACAAGTACATAAAAAGTTACTCAGCATCACTAATTATCAGGGAAATACAAATCAGAACCACAATGAGATATCACCTAACACCTGTTAGGTTGGCATTATTTAAAAAAAATAGAGGTAACAAATGCTGATGAGAATGTGACCAAAGGGAACCCTTGTATGCTGTTGGTAGGAATGTAAACTGGTGTAGCCTCTATAGAAACGGTATAGAGGTTATCCAAGAAATTTAAAATATAACTACCATATGATATCCAGCAATCCCACTTCTAGATATACATCCAAAGGAAATTATACCATTATGTCAAAGAGATATCTGTATTCCCATGTTCACTTCAGCATTATTTACAGTAGCCAAGGTATGGAAACAACCTAAGTATCTGTCAACAGATGAATGGATCAAGGTAATGTGATATCTATCCACCTATCTATCTATCTATCCATCCATCTATCTTTCTAATATATATCTCAAAAGGAATCGTATTCAGCCTTAAAAAAGAAGGAAATTCTGTTCTTTCCAACAGATGGATGAACCACCTCACAGACATTATACGAAATTAAATAAGCCAGACAGAAAAAGACAAATACTGTATGATACCATTTATAGGTGGACATTCAAAAAAAAAAAAATTGAACTCACAGAAACAGAGAGCAGAAAAGTGGTTGCCAGGGGCTTGGGGATGGGGGAAACAGGAAAATGTTGGTAAAAAGGTAAAAATTTTCAGTTATAAGATTAATAAGGTCTGAGAATCTAATGTATAGCATGGTGACTAAAATTGATTATACTGTATTGTATAATTGAAAGTTACCAAGAGTACAACTTAAAGGTTGATACTCTCACCAAAAAAAAAGTGATCAATGTGTTAATTAACTTAAGGGGGGTAATCCTTCCACAATGTATAAATATATCAAATCATCACATTGTACACTTTAATATCTTACAATTTTATTTGTCAATTAAACCTCAATAAAGCTGAAAAATAAGGGTAATTATTTTGATAATCCAGACATTATATAAGGCCCCTACTAAGTTCCCGCAATTGATTAGGCTGGAGGACACATATGAAAAATAGTGAGGCAGTAGAACTGGGAGAACTTTTTCAAAAGTTCACACTTGTTCAAGCACAGAGAGATAGAAAAGAGAGATCTGAAATGATTTTAGATTTCAAGCTTTTGTAATTAAGTCCAAACACACAAGGTGGTACAATACATTAAACTGATATTTAGAAAAAGAAACAAACTTTGGAGAACTGGTAATGTGTTCAGTTTTAAACATTCTGAACTAGTGAGAAAACTAGTCGGAAAGTTTCATTATGGTTAAGAAGTTCAGAGAAGCAGTTAAGGCAGGAGATTTAGGTATATTATTTATCACCATACACAGAATTATAATACAGAAATTAGTTTAAAATTCTGAGAATGGATAAGAAAGATAAGATGTAAGATTAGATTGAAAAGTTTTGTGTGGTGTCTCACAGGAACCGATAATTAATTGTTCAAGTCAGTTACATTAACTCCAATCAGCAAATATATTATGCAGTCATTCTGTGCCAGGTACCATTCTAAGTTTTGAGGATACAATGGTAAAAAATATAGACTCACTGCCTTTCCTCTAAGAGCCTATAGAATTCTTTGAGAACAGATCTTTATATCCATGATTAATAGTTTCCTATTATCTAGAATGTATAATGTCAACTCCTACTTTTGGCATTTAATTATCTAAATGACTTGAATGAACCATTATTTACAGCTAATAGGCACATATACTTTTTGTTTACTCAGTGTAGTTTGACCCTTCTTCTGGAAACTGCACGTTTTACTTAAAATGATTCTCTCCCCAACCCTCAATCTATGTGTTTACTTGGAGAGAGGGTGGAGTATTTGACCCCACCTGTAGTTCAGAGTGGGCATGTGACTGAAAGCCAGCCCATCTGAGCCTTTTATATCAAAGACCACAGTTCAGAAGGGGACAATTGGCCCTAATCACACCATCCAGACCTGAAGAGACTTCTGGAGAAGGACGGTAATGTTGGAGGAGGTCATGGTGTAATGGGGAAGGACAAATCTGATTCCATAATGGATGTTTCTTTTACTTTAACCTTTGTATTCTATTGCTTTTGCTACAAGTTAAGAATGTTGCTTATAGCCTGAAATATACAGGATAGCCCATTTTCAAGGCTCTGACCTTTAAAGATGTAACACTTTTCCATTCATATAGAGATAAAATGTTGCAGAACAGAGAATGCCATTTGCCTTATTGGAAGTTTATAGGAACACTGTGACCAGACCTACTTAGCTGCAAGATCAATGGATTCTGGCACCAAGAAGTTTGTAGCAACAACCATACACACACACCCCTTTTGGTATAAGAGAAGCTTGAATTCTAACTCCGGGAAGATGGTTCTTCGGGATACTAGTCCACCATCTACTTGATCTGCTGGCTTTCCGAATAAAGTCACTATTCTTTGCCCCAACAATGCATCTCTCTATTTATTGGCCTGTTGTGCAGCAAGCAGTTCAAGCTTGGACTCGGTAATACTGGAGACGATATTACCACAGATTGACCCATGAAATGGACCTGGGCATTTGGGGGCTCCTCACCCCCTTCCCTGTCCTTGGAACTTACATGCTGTCTACCATTCCCACAGCTAGAGCCATTTTCGAGAATGCAGCCTTGAGAGAGTAAGGTCGTATTGAGACCATATGGACAGTGTACATGACTAAACTCAGTTAAGCCTCTGTATAAACTTTAAGATTCTGGTGGGCAGGTGTGGAGATCCCCTTGTCTTGCAGCTGCCCAACACAAGCCTCATGTTAAGTTCCCTTGCTTATTAAATCTGCCACCTACCAATCTGGAATGGCTTGCCTCTTTCTTCAGTCTTCCCTTCCCCTGTGTGTATGGGGTCCAGTTTGTGAAACAAAAGGCAATCCTTAGAAAAGATCATGTCCCTTTTATAACTGATGCTGCTAAGGGATTAGAATGTAGGCCGAAGCTGCTAGAAGCTAAATATACAGTATAAAGAAAAGAATCTGCCTGAAAATGGAGCACAGTGGACATTAACAAGACATAGAGAGAGTACTGTGTTTCCATAATATTTTTTGACTGAATCTAGCTCTACCTGAAACCAGTTTTGCTTTTTAGTGTTTCTAAGTGGGTTGGAATAGGGGTTTTATTGCTGTAAGCAAAATCTTCTACCCTATTTTGTAGCACAGGTTTATAAATACAGGTTATGGAATCAGATGGTGTAGGATCTAACTTCTCTTATTTTTAAATGAATGCAGTTAAGTAAGTTGTTTAACCTCTCTATGCCTAAGTTTTCTCATCTGTAAAATGAGGATAATAATAGTATTCAACACCTAAAGATTGGTAGTGACTAAAGGGGATAATGTACCCCTTTATCAATAGCTGGCACAAAGGCAGAACATGACATTCACATGTTTTAACCATTCACATGTTTTAACCTTTAGTGCAAATGGAACAACTGAGTTTCTGAGAGTTACTTTGTACATGCCTGCCTCAATGCCTTTACTGTGCTTAACCTAACAGCATTAATTCATGTAACAAATACTTATTATGCTCTTAGGTGTCAAATGTATTGCATATTACCAATCTTAAAGGGATGAAAATGTGATCCTTGCTTTTGACATGATCAAACCAAGCTGAAATGCAGTATGAAATGCAATTTATAGCATTCATGTAAGTGTGTGTGTATGCCTGTGTGTGTGAGAACATACATATGCCAAGGCAATAGACGAATGAAATAACAGAATATGGAAGTAAAGCAGAGGCAAAAAGTGGACGAGGCAACTGAAGGGAGAGGACCGTTACTGGATGGAGAGTGAAGTTGAAGAAGCCAGGTTTGTTCAATTTGCTCTGAAATAAATTATGCCATAAATCAACTGTTAAAAATATATCTCTAACTATTATGCAGAAAAAAACCTGTTTCCACATTACAGAAAGGGGAAAGATAACTGTGAGGAATGTGTGATAAGGTAGAAATGCTGAATCTCCCCACTGCTGTTCTGTAGAGCTCCTCTAACCCCCATCACCATAGGATTATAAACAATAAGCTCCATATTATAAAATAGTAAATCTTCACCTTCTGCGCACCCTTGTAGTGTTTTAGATTGCTCTATTAGTCAAAAGTCCCAAGGCCACATATGCAGTGGAAGAGTGGGAAGAATATATACACACTTTGTTGACAGAAGCTGTATCTCCAGCCCCAACCTCCAGACCATTGTCTGGAGCTTTCTATACCTGCAGTTGACAGTTTCTGTTCCTGAAATATTCTCCCTCAGATATTTGAGATGCATGTTCCCTCTCTTTTAAAATATTTTCACCTCAGAGATAATTTCCATCATCATCTTATCAAAAGTGGTATCACCTACCAATATCTGACCCTTTATTCCATTTTATTTTCTTCTAGAACTCTTATTATAAGCTTTTCATGTATTTGTTTTCTGTCTTTCCTAATATCTAAGATACATGGGAACAGAGACTTTGTTTTTTTCACAATTTTAACACCGGGCTTCAAACACCATACTTGCTCCAGACACTTGTGGCATATGTGGGAAACACAATAGACGCTAATAAAGTATTTACTAAATGGATGAGTAAAAAGGAAATTAAGTAAAATTAATTTTGAAATCATTTTACCTTAAGACAATTATGGATTCACAGGAAGTTGTAATAATTAAAATTATGTTTAGCAAAAACACTATTAATTAATTTTCCCACCATAGAAGATGTCAGTTTTTGTAATCAGCTATTATCTGCCCCCTTCAAAACTACTCTGAAAGCAACACAGCTCTGCCAGTCAGTCAAGCTGAATACATTGTTCTATTTTATTCTTATGTTATATTCTACATATTTGTACAATTTGTAAAACATACTAATTTTTTTAATTACAGGAAATAGAAATCACACATCAGCTCACACACACAAAAAAAGAGAAGTTTCTCCTATTCTTGCATTTTTACATGGACATGTTTTATAAAGACAGAAAGAAAATCATGACGATTATAAACTCATCGGGTCATACCACTTTCAGATATCTGTTGCAGTATATGACTATTATAGATATTTTACTATAACAAAATACAAAAAAGGAAATAGAAATTATAAAAAGAAAAAACTAAAAATATGAATTGTACGGATGAGATTTGTTTAAAGTAAAACTTTACTACCTAATGACTAAAATTGATTTCTTTCTAGGATGATTCCTTTATTTATTCATCAACTATTCATTCAACACATATACTGCGCACTTAAAATGTGCCAGGAACTATTATAGGGGTTGTATGACTCAGAGAACAAAAGAAAAATCTTGCTTTCATGAATTCTAAATTATACTAGGAGAATATAGACACATACACAGGATATACATGTGTGCATATACATTCACAGACAAATCGATAAAATATGTAATCTAGTGATAAGACTAAGTAGGAACAGAAAGCAGGGAAGAAGCAGAGAATGACAGGATAGTAGGGAATGGCCAGTTGTAATTATAAATAGTTAAATAGTATGGTTAGACTATTGATAACTATTCACCATCTCCACTTGATGTACAATATATGCAAAATTTCCATTTGAATTAATGGAATTCAGGCATGGGCTCTGTGAAGAGATAATTTTCAAGAGCTAGATTTATCAGAATATGTGTATAGCTCATTTTTTCTATATGTCTATTGACTTTACTGCTTAATTGGTTTATAAGAGTGCTGAAAATTGACCTGAACACAAAATTCTTAATATTTCAATGTAAAACAGAGTATCTTCAGATATAGTATCTGTAAGACTAACTGCTAAATGTCTGGCTTTTACATATATGATTTACATCTGTTCTTGTGATTTTTTTTTTTTCTAATCATCCACTTAGTGCTCACAGTCCTCAAATATATTTATTCTCTTTAATACTGTTCAATTTCAATGTCTCTCTTCTAATGCCTGCCCATTTTGGATGGCCATCTATATATAAGGCACCTTACTAGATACTACGGGAGACTTAAAAAATGACAGAAAATACCTGCCCTGATGGAATTTGTAATTAGTTATTTTAATGCATATCTGGGTATAGTAACTGTTATATTCAAGGTATGGGTTTAGAATTTTTTCTAGAACAGATAATAACTGAACTGGACCTGAAGAAAGAGTAAGAGTTCAATAATCACAGATAGGATGTGCCCATCATTCCCCACCTTAAGGACAGCCTATCCCTTCCATGTTCTGTTTCAAATAGTTTTTATATTTTTTGAAAGTCAAAAGCACCTTGTATTTGTAATTCTGACAACAACTTTGAATAAAGCATTATTTTTATTTATTTAATACACACCTTTGTAGTGTTTATTATACACTAGGTATTTGTCTACGAGTTTCACGTATATCCACTCATTAAATATTTGGAACAATTTTCTGAGTTCGGTAGGTACTATCTTGATCCCATTTTATAGGTGAGTTTATTCTACACTTGCCCCCCGCCCCCCCCCGAAACACACACAGCACATTCTCCACACAGCTGTGGGCAACTGGGAGCATATGCCTCCCCAGCTTTAAACACTCCAAAAGCTTACCAAACCAACTAAAAGAATATCCAAACTCCTTACTGTGGTCTATAAAATATTACAAAATATGGTCCCTGCCTATTTCTCTGTTCTTCTACTATTCTCTGTAATCCCTGTGGTCTGGCCTCATTGGCTGCCTTTCCCTACCTGCACACACCAATCTCATTTTCCCCTTAGGATTTTTGTACTCTTTCCTCTGCCTGCAATGTTTTCCTCACAGTGTTGTCCTGGCTGCTGCCCTGAACTGGAGGTCCTTTGGTAATGCAGTCCAAGGGCATCCGGACCTGTCTGCGGAGGTGACCCTTCCCTGGCACTACTGCCAGCAGAAAACACAACGTTTCATCTACTGCTCTGACACTGGCTGGGCCCTGGGGGCCGAGGAGTCTGACTTTTAAGGTCGGGCCTTCCCCTTCCCGGTGCAACGCCGAGGGAGGACTTCGTGCCAAGTCCAAGATGGCACAGCTGATGGACCACGAGCCCTGAAAGCTCTCACAGACTGGACAGAGGAAGCAGGACTACGGACCCAAAGTTAACTTTTGGTAACAGAAGCCAAGGACCGCTGGCCTCAGAGGCTTCCCCAGCTTCAGCCGGTAGGTGGTGTTGAGAACGGGTCTCCACCGGTCCCGGAGGACTTTCGGTGTGTGCAGTAGTGGACCCTGGACCACTGCCGCGAGGGGGACTCCGCCCCCGACCCTGCCTGGACGATGCCTGGCTCGGGGGAAGCAGCAGGTGAGCCTCAACCTACCGTCCGCACCGTGCAGTCCACGTCGCGTTAGCAAAGTCAGGCGGCTGCTCCGTCTAAACCCCGTCTGGCTTCCCCGAGGCCTTGGTGGAAGGTGTGACGGCCCCAGCAGCTCTGTCCTAGGCCAAGAGGTGGAGGCGGCCTTCCGCTCACCCCGCCGCTCTCTGCTGAGCTCCGCAGAGCCGCGTGGACCCGGGGCAGCGCGCCCTCCCCCGCGGTCACACGGGGCCGCCGCGCGTGCGCCACCTTCAGGAAGCTGTGGGCGAGTCAGTCCTGCCGGGAGGCCGCTAGGCCCGGGCGGCCGCTAGAACCGGGCGGGAACCAGGAAGGCCCGCAAATCCCTTTCCTTCCCTAAAAGGAAGCCCAGGTGAGCGGCCTCTCTGGGGACAGGAGCTGGCATTGGGCCTGGCAAGAGTTGACCATTAGCCAGCACTGAAGGGGGTTAAGTCCAGCCTAAGAGTCTCTTTTCCCAGCTTACCTTAGGTTTCACAGACCGCTCCGTATCCACACGCCCGACCGCCTGATTGGTTGGTTGGTAGAGATTGGTTGCGATGGAATGTGAGTCAGATCAAGTCCCCGTTGACCTGCACTAAGGCCACTCGTTTGGGGTATTTAATCGAGTCTCTCTCCCCCACTCTAGCGTTGTAAGCTTATTGAGGGCAGAGACTTTATTTTGTTCCACAAGGTCCCTTGTGGCTTTGAGAGCACCTGGCAAAGAGTAGGCTCTTGGTAAGTAATGGTTGAATAACTGAGTGAATATTATATAAAGTAACTTCAAATCTATTTTTAAAACTTAAGGTTTCTCAGCAACTTTTCGCAGTCCAGAAACAGAATTTTTAAGTGTTTACTTGATTTTGAGCCATTGTTATGAGTTAATGTGTTCACTGTTTAAAAGTATAGAGATAATAAATGTGTATCTAATAGTTATTGAATGGTTGTCGCTTCCATACACAGTGCTATGGTCAATCTCAACCATTTATTTCTTAGAACAATAATATTAATTGAACATAGATGAAGAAACTCTGAGAGAAGTAAACTGTTGTTCAAGAGACCACAAGCAAATAAGCAGAGTTGATGGTATTGCAATATTTTAACACACTCAGTCTTACTGTTGAGCTAATGGTCTGAATGACCCCACTAGACTTTCACTTCAGTGTAAATATTCACTATCAAGGTTTCCCATAATAATGTAATAGGGAAGAATCTTTGTATTCTAAGTTAATCACTGAAGGGATATTGCCTTTAAGCTTAAATTATACATAATGGCTCATCTCTGAGAACCCTGCATCTCAGGTAAGGAGCGTTAAACTAAAATACCTTTGTTTAGCTCATAAGAAACATCCTGACCAGGCTCACCTGTGAATGGCTGCAAGAAGGAAGCAATTAACAAATCCCATCCAGAGTTTGACCTGAACCAGGACTTACTCCCTCCCCTTTTAGTGTAAAAGAAGCCTGAATTCTAACTCAGGGAAGTTGGTTCTTTGGGAGACTAGTCCACCATCTCCTTGGCCTGCTGGCTTTCCAAATAAAGTCTCTGTTCCTTGCCCCAACAGCTCATCTCTCGATTTATTGGCCTGTTGTGTGGCAAGCAGTATGAGCTTAGACTTAGTAACAATAACTTGCTCTTATGGTTGGCATTAGTATCCTAAGAAAAGGCTCTCAAATATCAAACGTCTCTGTGAATGGACGTGATGCATATCACTTGCTGTGGCAGTTACCAGCTGGGATCTCTCTTGTATAACACCCTTATTTCCTAGAGGGGGCCTTCAAGGCCATGTGTTCCAGATGGAGTAGCTTCAAGAAGGAAGAAAGCTGCAAACCCACATCTGACTTTACCCTAGCAAGAAATAAACCTACATTTTGTTATGTGACTATGATCTCTTGGTTAATTTGTTACCACAAAACCACAGCATAGTCTGTTTTATTCTAATAACACTGGTAAATTATAGTTTAGAAAATATGCAATTATCTTCTAAAACCTGTTATGTCTAACTAATAGAGATATATAACAGCACAAATTGTAGTTTTTGAAAATATGTAATTATTTTCTAAAATCTATGAAATGCCTGTCCAGTAGAGCCACACAGTAGCAGACATATTAGTGAATAGTACTATATATATAGCCATACCTTTCACTCACAGCCTCTTGACCAAAATTAGTGACATGGCTCCAAACTACCTGCAAGTGAAAACACATCAAGTATGTGATGGTGAGCTCTGTCTCTTACAGTTCTAACAGCCATAGTGCTGTATTCTGAGGAAATACTATGAAACAAAATTGACTCTAATTGTATTTCACTAGGCATAAAGCCTTCGAGTAAAATTCTAAAATATTTTTAAATCATTTACTAGAAGAATATTTCAGGTAAAAATCCATCTCAATGCTTTTCTGGCTAAAGATTACCCTTTGCTCAACAAGCATTTTATCTATTGGGGATAATAATGTGAAGATCTGGATAGTGAATGAAATCAATACACTTCAGTAACCACATTTCTAGTTAGAAGTAATTGGAAGGTTGCAATGAAACAGTGCTCATAATTATGCAAGTCATTATACGTCAACTTGGCTTGGAATTTGCACATCTAAAATAATAATTCTATGAATTTAATTATTACTACATGAAAGAGTACAAAATTATTGTGCCTTACTAAAATGATTTTTATACCAGTATAAAACTGTTTATCTCAAGTTTGGTATTTTTGTGGTTATTTAATATATATTGAGTAGCTACAATAAACAGGTTTTAAAAATATATTATAAATTTATTTGATAGTATCAGCAGATGCCATTTTTAAAAATTAACAATTTGTTCAGTGGAGTAAAGACAATTTAGGATGCCACATAAAATGAGAATGGATTGTTGTCTTCATCAGTTAGGGCTGCTATTACAAAAATACCATAGGCTAGGTGGCTTAAACAACATTTATTTCTCATGGTTCTGAAGGCTGAGATGTCCAAGATCAAGGTGCCAGCAGATTTAGTATCTAGCGAGAGCTCTCTTCTTGGCCCATAGATGGCTGTCTTCTCAGTGTGTCCTCACATGGAGGGAGAGAGCTCTGGGCTCTTAATCCCCTTAAAAGGCCACCAATCCCACCATGGGGGCTCTACCCCCATAATCTCATCCAAACTTAATTACCTCACAAAGGCCCCCCTCACTTCCAAATAGGCTCCACATCACATTAGGGATTAGGCTCCAACTGATGAATTTCACAGGGGACACAAGCATTCAGTCCCCAGCAGTGATACAACAATATGGGATTTTAATTTGCTTTCTTTCTATAAGAAGAAATTTAAAGTGATTTTATAATTTTATTCCTTTTAAAAACACACAAAAAGCAACAAAAATTAATTCATTGTCATAGCCAAGAGTTGCCAAAGGCAGCACGGTAATTAAAGTGTATATGGTATTCTAGATCAGGAAAAGTAGGTAAAATCTAAGAATTTCTGAATAAATTATGGACTTTACTTAAAAATAATATATCGGGGGGCTTCCCTGGTGGCGCAGTGCTTGAGAGTCCACCTGCCGTTGCAGGGGACACGGGTTCGTGCCCCGGTCCGGGAAGATCCCACATGCCGCGGAGCGGCTGGGCCCTTGAGCCATGGCCACTGAGCTTGTGCGTCCAGAGCCTGTGCTCCGCAACGGGAGAGGCCACAGCAGTGAGAGGCCCACATACCAAAAAAAAATTAAATATAATAAAACAAAATAAAATAAAAAATAATAATATATCAGTGTTGTTACATTAATTGTGACAAATGTACCATAGAGTAATACAGTAATAGAGGAAACTGGCTGTGTATTGTATGGGCACTCTCTGTATTACCATAAAATTTTTTTTCTGTAAGGCAAACTATTTTAAAATTAAAGTTTATTTGAAAAAGCAAGTCATAAAGTAATCCTGAACACAATAATTTTTTCAAAATAGCATAATTATTTCTATCTGAAGGCAAAATTTGTCTTTTTCTACCTGAGTATCATGATGTTTTTGATAGTAATATTTTATATTTTGTAATTCAAAAGCCATGAGTTAAAACAAAATTAGAAATCTCTTAGAATATAATGAAAACAAAAATTGTGAATATAACATTCCCTGTATCCTTCAAAGTGATGTACTTGAAAAAGTAATGTGCTGTAACTCTCAACATATGTACAGTAATTGACCAGGGATAATAGACTGATATTTGCTGCCCGCCCCCCACACACAAAAAAACCTCAAAATGTTTTCACATTGATTGATGGTATAAAATAAATGACAAATAGTTATCAAAGGAATGATTTGATTGAAATGTGTTGTTGGGAAAATATAGTTAAAAACTAAATCTCCTCCCATCCTTGATAACTTCCGCAAAAGTAGAAGAGAAAGAGACAGTTTTATTATTGAGAAGCATTAAACCAGAAGGTGATGCCCATCACAGGCAATCTGCTAAGGAGATTGCAAAGACAGGAAGACATCTCACCCTTTAAATAGTCAAGTATATACCCATCACCTACATGTTTTCAAGATAAACAATAACTAGTCCTCAAGTAAGAGGATTTGCCAGCATCACCCATCACACATAGTTCATCCTAAATTCACCTAGTAATTGGGTGACAAGCTGTGTTAGCTAATTGGCTTTATCCAAAGGAAAAATAAACATATCTGTATGACAGGAAATAGTTTTGGAGTAAGGTACCCACAAGTTTAGTTTCCAACCCTCTGACAAAAATAAAGAGATTGGGGGAGTATCTTTCTTGGTTACCTTTCAAAGACATATTTCTCAGATTCTTGACAAAGACATTCCTGGGTTATAACTCTGGCAAAGGCTTGTCCAGCATTTACAGGGATTTACATACATTCCAAAGAGATTAAAAAAAAATTCTAAATCATAAGTTTTCTAAAATAAGTCCTGTAAGAAAAGGGAGAAAGGGAAGTGTCTATCCTTATTTTCAACAGGGAGAATTAAGCCTCCTACCTTTTATTCATATTTGCCCTTACAGTGTCCACATGCACTTGAATCATTTGGACTATCACTCTGAGAAATATCAGTGGAAACTCAGAAGTAGACACAGGAGACGAATGCAGCTAAATTGGCTTTGGAGAAGAAATAGGAGAGTTAGAGCCAAATTATTTAGATGTTTAAGTTACAGTGATATGGCTATTGTAACAATACATTGAAAACCAAAATAATTAGCTCTCTTAAGTATGATATTCTTGAAAATATGTAATTATTATAGCAATAATTATTGCCCTAGTGTTCTAATTATAAGCAAGTTAGCCTAAGTGAGATTTCAATACCAGAAGTCCTTCACTGAAAAGTTCCACTCCTATT